AGCCTATAGCGACTTTACTTGAGACTCCACCAACTACAACGACTCTACAAATGTGACGTTCATGGCTTATAATCAGACCCAAAATTGCCACGTGTCACTGGTGTCGCTATGGGCCATAGCGACACCGTAGAAAATAGTCCCAAAGATGTAATATGTTTCAAAACAATCCCATTTTGATAATTTGTTTGTAAAACTGCTATATAATGGTCGTTTAGCCTGGAAAATTGTGATGACTTAGCATCCACACGAACACGTTCCACAGTTCCACTGTATCGGTGAAGCGAAAAAGCGGAAAGTAGATTTAAAAAATTAAAAGGGTTAAAAAAACAAGTTTTGAAAAAAGTAGCGGCCATGAACTAAAAAGTCAAGAGCTAACGGTGCATCTGCTTTAATCACGTTTACCCTTTTCACTTTACTTGTACAAATCCTGTCAAAAACAACGTGCAAACCCATTTGCCCTTTTCCATTTTATCCCTTCGTTGCTTTCTGGGTTGGATTTCAACGGATAGAGATGGATAAATTTGAATTGAAGATTCTACTTTTTCTGGAAGTCATAATGTTTTTTGAGCATTCATGGAAGTCATATATGTTTGGTTACTAACAAAGAAAGAGAGTAAAAACGGTTTGATTTAAGTTAGTTTTTATTATACAACGACAAATCAATTACTTTTTTTAAAGTAGTTTAGTTAGATAAATAATTAAGTTTGGTCTTTAAAAGTAATAAGCTATGTTGCATGGTCATAGCATGAAATTGTCATGTCTCGACACTTTTTCAGAGTGAATATGTTATGGACACATCCAATTGTTTTGACGGAGGGTGTCCACATATATCGATCACGTTATTGTAAGCATCTACAAAATTAATGTGTTTTCATCACAGACACTTGTAAATGAACATATTTTTATCTTGATAAAATTAATTTTTTAGAAAAAGAATAAATTTTAATAAAAATAGAAACAAGGTAAAGAATCATTCTCATTTCTCTTTACTTAACCTTCATATAATAAAAAAGAAATTTTTTTAACAAAAATAGAAACAAGGAAGGAAGAATTTGAGATTTAAAAAAAAAGAAAATGAATTTTTTGTTATTGTAAATTATAATATCTCTTAATAATTTATTTTTAAAATTTCGTAAGCTATTGTTATATTAATATATATATTTTTCGTCATCTTATTTATATATTATATTATATATATTGTATTTACATATCTTATATTTTTTTTTAATTTTATCGTATTCTTGTATTGGTGTCAATGTTGTGTCCAAATTCGTGCTACATAAGTAATAAGCGTTATGACACTGGTTATTAAAATTAAGAATATATTATTTAATTTTTTAAAATGTTAAACAAATCTTTAAATTTATTATTATTTTGATCTTTGAATCTATATTAATATTATAAATTTAGGTGTATTTTTTTTTTAAAAAAAATTTAAACTGATATAACTTTCAAATTGTTTTTTCTTTTTTTCATTTTTAAGATTTTTTTTTTGACATTTTCTTACTTTCAAAAACTAATACCAGAAACATTTTCTAAATTTAAATACCCAAACAACAATTTACTCAATTTAATTACAATGTAAAAAAAATCACACTCTATTAATTATATAAAAATTATCATACCTGAAATGATTGCCTTTGAAAATACCTAAATATTTTTTTATTAACAAAGAAAATTTATTAATAATAGAAAGACTTACTTAAACAGAGGGTAAGTCTAAATTAAGCATTGTACAACTGTGAAATGCCATAAATTATTATTCTACCCTTTTGACTCTTAAAATTCAGCGCCAAAAACTCAAAACACAACAATACATAGGTAAAGTGTTACAATTTACAATATAATCAAACATTACTTTGATAAGCAAAAGTAGCTGCATGCAAGGAAAAGTTTGTCATCATAAAAATCATAGCACCCCACATTTATAGTCCTCATTAGACAAACATTACTTAAAATAATTTTTGATTAATTGGCAATATATAAAAATTTAATGAGTTTTTTGTGACAAAATATTTATACTAAGAATGTATAAAGATTAAACTCTTATTTTTTTTTAAAATTTAAAATATATATCAAATTAAAAATATACTCTTCATGTACTTTTAATGTCGATTTTTTTATACTATCAAATCATCAAAAGTTACACTGAGTAATTCTCTATATACGACAATTTGTGACAAAATGATAATATAATTTATTTTACGGAGTAATTGCATTATAAATAATTTATAAATTAATTAACATTTTTCCATACAATATTTGGATTTTCTCTTCATAGAGAATAGCAAAATCCGGATTAAAAAGAAGTTACATCTCAAATACTTTTTTATGCGAGGTTTATCAACTTGGAAAAATTAAAATAAAATTTATTTGAAAATATAAAAGAATAAAACAGTCCAGTTTGCTATACAATTAGATTTAGCAACAAAAGTAGTATAATTAGAGTAACATTATATCAATTGTATACTATATAATATCATGCACAAATGTATAATTAGTTTGATGATATTTTTTCTCCTTTCTTCCCTTTTCGAGTTTGCCATTTTTCTCTTTTGGAAGACCTATGTTGTAGTAGTAGGTAAACCTTTATACATTAAAAATACATACTTTTATTTTTTTTAACGAAGATATTACTACCGTTCCTGATTATTAGGCAAATTTTATGCTCATGCAATCAAAAGTAGTTGCGGATTTTTGTCACGTATCAACATGCACTTTAGTAGCAAGAGTGCAAGACGACGAGGAAGAAAATGGTCGGTGTGATACAATCATATTTTTAAACCATATAGAAAAAGTGGATTCTACAATAACTCCTTTGTGTCATTAAAATTATGCATTCATAAAATTAACTTTGTTGTGAAAAAAATAAATAGAAAAGGTAATTAATGTTGAGTGGGTGTGACCGTGTAAGATTCATAAAAAGTCTAGAGATAATCCAGTATATATAGTTTGATAGTAACTCGAAATTTCATTTAATTAATTAATTTTGGAGAAGAGTGTTAGCTTTGGATAATGAAAGAAGATTATGTTAATGTTAAGGCTGTGTGAGGCAACTTTCTGACAGTAAATACCTAACTGCTCTTTAACGGCCATATTTTGGTCATAAGTTTAAGTTGAATTTAAAAAACAGTCATAACCCGACACAAATTACATGATAGCCCTTGTTCCTAATTACTGGATAGCCCATCATTTTGTATTTGTGTGTGTTGTTTTGTGGGAGAGTTAACCATATATGATTTAGCAAATAAAATTTTAATTTTGTTGTGTATTTATATGTAATAAATTTATTACATAATTAATATTTTTACGTGTATATTATTATTATTATTATTATTATTATTATTATTATTATTATTATTATATAAATTTAACATAAAATATTTCATACATCGCATTGCATCGTTCACATGGATATAAGGGCTAATTTCATGGTTGATTTCAACAAACTAACTTTCTGTATATATATTATATAGAAAAAAGAATCCATGTGGAATTAATAGGTAGATATTATACCAAAAAATATAGCTCCTAAATTTGTTTAGGAAGTTAAGTAAGGATGCAGCAAATTTTAATGCAGCTGAATCAAACAAAATTGAATATGGATAAATGCCATCAAGAGGTTTGATAGCAGGGGTTGGAAGATATAGACAGAGAGGGACCAATTATGGCCTTATCATGGTGGCATTTTTCAATCAAAGCTCGTAAACACTTCATGTCACATACTATTCAAATTTTAAAATACGAACACCACCGGTCCCCATTAATTATTAGGTTATTATCATACAACTTACTTTCTTTAATTAGTACTACAAACTTGCTTGGCCCCACACAATCCAACCTTAATTCTACTCAAGCATAAGAAATCTTGCCAAACATAGCATCCATTAGGATTCAAATACGGTCTATTTTCGACTAATAAGTGATATAGGTAGTGTAGATCCTTATTTTTTTTAATCTATATTATTAATGTGAAATATTTATCACGTCAAAAAATTTAACTGAATATTTTTAGTTTATTTTTTTATCTGTAAGATTCAAATTTAACATTTTATTTAAAGAAATCAAATTCATTTAAATAAACAATGTATAGGTAGATTCTTAATTTTCTAGAAATATGTACAAAACTTGTGATGATAAATTATATTTTAAATTGTTTTATAATACCCAATTTAGGATGCTAACTCCTTAGTATTAAGTTTACAATTTTAGTTTATATTTTTATAAAATTCACAATTTTGTTATTATAGATAAATGTTCATGAGTTGACTATTAGAATTTTAATATTAATTATGACATATTATTAAATGAATGATCTATTTTGATAGAATAAAAATGAAGAGTAACTTAACTATTAATTATTATGATATTTATTTAATGTGAAGTGATAATTAATAATATAATTTGAATGGTTAATGATAAATATTTGATGTTGGAATCAAAGTAATAGATTCTAGAAAATAAAAATTACATATTTAAAAATAAAAAAGATGGAGAGGAAACTGAGTAAAGGGGAGGAAGGGCAGAAGAGTAATTTGATAGGTGAGCGTGTTGTTGTAGTGTGTAGCTCCTTCTGCTTACTTACTCCCACAGGCCACAGCTACCACTATCAGGTTCAAATTTTATTTAACATTTTTTATTAATATTTTGAACGTACTACTCTGAGAGCGAAAGCCAGAGAGACGTTGGCATGTGGTAATAGCTCTTCAAACTTGAAATCAAATTTTGTTGTTGAGTGTTGTGTGAAGTGCAGAGTGGTAATAGCTCTTCACAACCCTTTTCGGAAAAAGCCACACGTCTTCATCATTGCATCGTCTTTTCCATGAAACCACCTTAGCGGTCCCTTCATATATCCCCAAACCCACCTCACCTCACATTTCACTGCTTTCATTTTTTGCACTTATGTCTCAAGCTACGTTCCCCGTATCTTCTTATCCCACTCACTGACTCACTGCCCCACTTGCCTTTTCGGACCCAAAACACTTTCTTTTTCCTCAAAGATGGATGCTTTATCTAAGAAGACTGAAAATTCTCAAAAGAAAAAAGATGGGGTTTTCTCTTGTCTCACGGATTCGAGTGCAGAGTCCAGGGAAACCAGTTTTTGTGGTTCTAGCTCCTCAGTTTCCACTGAAGAAACGAAGGCAAAAGGCTCTTCTTCACCTCCTCCTCTTGGTTGGCCTATTCTCAAGGCTACGGTCTCCAAGTGCTCAAATTCTGATGAAAAAGAAAATAAACATAAATCCCACTTGGAAGACCCAAAATTTACCAGTATTAGTTTGAAGTTGTCAGGTTAGTTTTTTTTTTTTTTTTTTTTTTTTTTTTTTTTTTATAATTATTTTAGTTTTCTCCGCATGTTATGATAAAAATGGATAATGGAAACTAGACAAGGGATGTGGACAGGAGTTTTAAAAGATAGAGGCTATTTTTATTGTCAGCTGAAGTGCTGGAGTTAATAATTCCTTTTTGAGTCATTGATGACCATTTGTTTGTTGTTTAGTTAGTGCTAATTGTTAGATTTTTTTTTGTTTGAAACAGAAGTTGACATGATGAAGGAAAGGTTTGCAAAATTGTTGCTTGGTGAAGATATGTCAGGTTCTGGAAAAGGAGTTTGCACTGCTTTGGCCATCTCAAATGCCATTACTAATCTATGTGGTATGCTTTCTCTCTTGCACACACTGACGTAGGCTCGTGTTGTAATTGAGAAACTGTTTAGTTTGTCTATGTTGGCAAATGGTTCAAAATTTTGAATTTTTCTGTTTTGGTATAAATTTGAGTTTTATAACTTATACAAATTTGGGTTATTTGCAACGTGTAGCGACTGTATTTGGGCAATTATGGAGACTAGAACCTCTACCTTCTGAGAAGAAAGAAATGTGGCAGAGAGAGATGGAATGGCTTGTGAGTGTCAGTGATTACATTGTCGAGTTAATGCCTTCTTGGCAAACATTTCCTGATGGGAGTAAGCTTGAGGTAAAATTGGATTGAGTCCTATTTCCAATGCTGAACTCTGATTTTATTAATAAAGGGAATTGTGATGTTTATAATATGGTGCATTCTGCAGGTAATGACTTGCAGGCCTAGGACAGATATTTTTATCAATCTTCCAGCTCTTCGTAAACTTGACAACATGCTTCTCGTGAGTATTGAATCTTATTCTTTCACGGCTCATTAGTAATTAGTTAGACGGTGACATCATTGAATGATTGAGGCCTTAATGTACATTTTCTTTTACAACAGGAAATTTTAGACAGTTTCACTGCCACAGAATTCTGGTATGTGGACCAAGGAATTGTAGCCCCAGATGCAGATGGTTCGGCCTCTTTTCGCAAAACAATTCAGCGGCAAGAAGAGAAGTGGTGGCTTCCTGTACCCCGTGTTCCCCCTGCAGGACTCAGTGAAGACTCAAGAAAGCAGTTGAATCATTCTCGAGAATGTGCAAACCAAATTCTAAAAGCAGCCATGGCTATCAACGGCATTGCTTTGGCTGAAATGGAAGTTCCTGAGTCATATTTGGAAGTTCTTCCTAAGGTCTAACTAAATTCTAACCTTAATAGTGTGTTTGGATGAAGAATTTTACAAATTCAAGGAATTTTAAATTTTTGGCATTTGAATTACTTTGATTTCAATTTCTATCATTCTTAAAATATTTTGTTTGGATGAGTCAATTCAAATTTTTTAAATTTTAAATTATTAGGTTGAATATGATAATTTGATTCCATTATAGTAAAATTAATTTTAAAAATATATTTATATGTTGAGATTTTTAAATTAAATTTTATAAAAATAAATATTAATCCATTTTTAAATATTTAATAATTTTAAAAATTAATATAAGATAATATTTAATAATTTTAAAAATATTTTTGAATATCCAATAATTAAAAGAATGGAGATAAGATAAAATATATAGGTGAAATAAGAAAAATAAATATGAGGAATTTCAAATTCTCCCATTTTTGGGAGAATTTGAAATTATACTATTTTAAGGAATTTCACAAATGCTTGGATTTTAAATTCTTTGTAAATTCCTCATCCAAACAAAGTATTTCACCTCAAGAAATTTGAAATTCTTCAAATAAATGAATTACCCTATATAAATTCCTCATCCAAACACACCATAAGGGTACTGGTAAGGAAATCAAAAGTATAAAGTTTTTACTGAAAATATAACAACACTCTCCCGTTCAACTTTAATGTAGTTTTTTTATAAAAAACTTTTTATATGTTAATTTCTTAACTAGTGCTGTTGCATACATGTATATTGCCTGGTCAGAAATTTGATCCCCAAGCTCTTGTGCAGGGAAAAACATTCATTAGGATATGCTGATCCTTTGAATTGATCTCAGTATTATGAGAAATATGTTTTTTATTCTTGATCATGGGATACTTCTGGGTTACCTCCCTAAAATATTATGTACATTACCTGCAATGAGATGTTCTCTAGTTAATATTTCTGTCAAGTTATGACATTGTCTTGAATATCAATTTGGGTTGAGTTTTGACAAAGAGTACTTTCAACATGGCCTGGCTTTTCACAGAATGGAAGAACATGCTTGGGGGATTTTGTTTACCGTTACATAACATCAGATCAATTCTCCCCGGAGTGCCTGCTTGATTGCTTAGACATTTCCTCTGAGCATGTTGCACTAGAGATTGCTAACCGTGTGGAAGCAGCAATTTACGTGTGGCGTCGAAGAGCTCACTCCAGGCCCTCACCCAATCCCAACCGTTCCACTACAAAATCATCTTGGGAAATAGTCAAAGACTTCATGGTTGATGGAGATAAGAGAGAATTGCTAGCAGATAGAGCAGAGAACATTCTAGTTTCCCTGAAGCAGCGTTTCCCAGGCCTAAGTCAAACTACTCTTGATACTAGCAAGATCCAGTGCAATAAGGTTGGTTCCATGCATTTTTTCCAATCCTTACTTCCCTAGTTGCTTATTTTATTTTGACACATTTTGACAAACATTTCAGGATGTTGGAAAATCTGTACTAGAGAGCTACTCAAGAGTTTTAGAGAGCATGGCTTTTAACATTGTGGCACGCATTGATGATTTACTCTATGTGGATGACTTGACCAAACATTCAGAGAGGTTTGCATTGGTTCCTACAACTGCTACAGTTAACGTGGTTTCTCAGCAGAAGAAGGGTACACGTTCGGTCTCAGTGTCTGTCTCAGGCACTACTCCACACAAAGCAGCAGTTGGCACACCTAGCTTTTCGCCTGCGGTTGCGCCGCTAATTAGTCCGGCAAGAGGGGAGAGAACTCCTTTCCTCAAGAATAACAACAACAGCATCAAGCCTCATCGTCGTGGATTCGGAGTTAGGAGAGTGTTGTCAAATTATCTTGGAGTGGAAACAAAGACTAAGATATGCAGCAACTCAACCGAGGTGAACTGTTCAAACCCAAGTAGCAAGAAAACTGAACAACACCAACCAGAGCAACGTCCGAAGGAAACATGCACCTTAAAAAACAGGACCAAATGACTGGCAAGGTTTATTATCCATTAGAGCACTCATTATGGTAGTTGAGATTCGGTGGCACAGAGTTTACTAAGGGGGGAGATAAAGTAGAGCTCAAACTGTTATAATCATTTATGATATTTTTCCTTTTTACTTCATTTGTATCATTCACGAAAATATATTTATTGGTAGTTGGGAATTCAAATTCATAGTGTTATTACAGTAGCTTATACAAGCTGTTGGTATTCATTTGTTTTTGAATTTAAATATGCTAGGAATCACGTTGACATTTAATTGAAACCATCTCTTCTTTGGAGCTATGTATAGACTTCGCTACATAGCAAACAAAATGGAGCTTGATTGATTAAGGACCTCTGTACAATTAAGCTTGGAGGATTAAAATGTTTTGGAACTTTAGAAGCTAGAAAAAAGTGGTCACAGAACAGTGAGATTTCGAGACAAGTCAAGATACGAAAAGTTAAAACATGGGGCATTCCGAGAATTGAACTCGGGACCTCTCGCACCCTAAGCGAGAATCATACCACTAGACCAAATGCCCTGATCGATATAAATAGTCATGCAAGTTTTCCTTAATATAGACACTTTTTAAATTTTATGACGAAAGCAAAAAAGCTCAAAGCGCGTAAGCTATTTCTGTTTGTCAGGTTACTTCTACAATTTGCTTACCCATCCAACAGGTTACCTAATCTAAATTATTTGACCTTTTCATTTATATTAGGATATTAAATATTAACTAACATATTCGTATTCAAAATTAGATGTTTAAGTAAAATTTAAATACAAAATAAATTAAAAGAAAATAATATAGGAAGTAATATTATGTTATTTTATTTTGATGTGTTATTAAAGGTAAACAAGAAATAACGTGATAACATATTGATAGAGTTTTATTGTTTTCTGTTACATATTTTTGTTCCATTCCATTTTTAGTTTTAGGTTCTTTAGAGACAACATATTTGGTTAAGATAAAAGCATAAAGGCGAGAGAAATGCATATTTTGTAACATATTTATTGGCAGTCAAAATGATTTGATCTCAGATCTCAGATCTCAGATCTCAGTAGTTGAAGAATAAAAGTGTTAAATAAGGAAAAGACCCATAAATTTAGCAAATGCAATAAAGTAATTAAAAGAAAACGGTAGAAAAAAAGTGTTTTGTTGGTGACAGTGGGAGAGGCAGAAGCATTTGTGTCTCCAGTGAGAGCGAATTCTGAGAAGAAGAAAGAAAGAAAGAAAGAAAGAATGTCTTCTTCCATAACGAGCGTGCATCTGACGGCCTTGGACGCCATAGTGAACGTGAACTCGCTCTTCACTCTGGCCGTCTTCATCGGCCTCGCCTGGAACCCTAACGATCCGGAGAACAACCTCAACTCCGATCCGGCGTGCGCGCCCACCGCCGCCATCGCCGAGAACCTCGTCGCCTTCCACGTCTACTCCTTCAGCTCCTTCCTCTTCTCCAGCCTCGTCGCGCTCGCGCTCAAGCAGGCCGTCCGCCTCTCCCGCACCACCTCCTTCCACTACCCCGCCGCCGTCGAGCACATCGCCGCGCACGTCAACCGCACCGCCCTCCGCGTCGGCATGCTCGTCTCCGGCGCCGGCTCCGTCGCCGGCTGCGCATTCCTCATGCTGGCGCTGGTCAACGTGGCGCAGCTGAAGCTCGGAACCCTGGCCTGCGGAAGCTCGCACACCTACGCCGCCGTGGTGCCGCTCGTGATCCTGGTCCCACTCGCGCTCCTCATCTACGTCTCTCTCGTCCTCTACGCCTTCACTCGCTAGATTAGGATTAGGGTTTTGAATATGCTCATGTTGGAATTTGACAAGTTTCTGTAGTTATTGGTGGAAACTGGAATCATTCTCTCTAGTTCCCTGTGAATCCATGAAAGAACGAAGATCCACTTTTTCATTTGCTTACAACCAGGCGCTATTTTAATGTTTGGTAGAATGGTAAAAGAAAAAATACATCATTTTCTTTTATTTCGTTACAAATATAAATAATAAAAAATTATACCGGTTCTAATGAGATCAAATGTGTTCATCTCTTACCACTTAATTGTAAACAATTTTTCATCTACTATCAGGGCTTTACAAATTTTTGTTGTTTTTTATTTAACAAAATGTCATTTACCTAACGTATAAGTATTTATGAAATAATGTGAGACCACATCAAATAAAATGTTTATCTTTTTTACAAAATCTAAATAATTTTTAAATTAATTAAATATAGATATTAACCTTTTTAAATATTCAAAATATACAAATAGATATGATTTATAGATATACTAAGCTTTCAAACGTGAGATTGGAGATTATATTCTTGTATATTTAAAAGAGATCAACTACTTAAACTAATTTAGTATGGATTATTACTTAGTTCTCGATTGGGTATCTAGTTCATCCCCAAAAAAAAAGTGATATAATTTTAGAGAAAAAATGTTTATTCCTTGTTTAAAATAATAACCCAGCACGGCACCTACGAACTAATAGAAGGAACTTTGTTTTTATGAATCCACTGATAAGGTGTACATGGAGGTTAAAATGATGGGCGGTAGTTGCCTTACAAGTTACAAAGCATATCTTAAAAATAAAAGAATGATTTCAGATAGCTAAGGCTTAGGGATTAAGAAAGGAAGAGTGTAGGGTTGCTAGGAGCCACTTATAATTGCTTAACGGGATTAGAGTTGGAAAATGGGCTTTCATCTGTGTCGATTGAGGCCTGCATGGGTTTGGGTCAAAACATTTTTTGTGTTTGATTCCCGGCCCATATTATCCGTTGGTTTATTAAACCTGCAGGTTAAATGGATGTAGTGTAAATCCACAATTCAATAAGTTTATCTATAGTATTAACAAAAACGATATGCCTTTTGAGGGTACATTTTTTTTTTGTTAACTATTTAATTTCTATATCTTCTAAAAACACTTTTTTTTATTTAATTTTTACCACACTCTAGTTAATTACTCAAAATTACTCACATCAATTGTTAATTGCTCATCAATGAACTAATTTGATCTGAAATATATTAATCTACTTACAAACATTGATTTGACTAACTCATGTAATTAGAAGTGTGCAAAAAATTCAAATCGATTTGAACCAATCCATAATCTATCTAATCTAGATTAAAAAATTCAATCCATAACTGGCTTAATTATCCTATACATTTTTACAAAGTGGGTCAATTCACTTCGATTTGGTTAAAGTTTTTTTTAAAAATCGATTTATATATAAATATAAAGTGGATAAGTATATTATATTGAATTGATTCAATTTTAAAAATTTTGATCCATATTTTTAAAAATCAAATTGATCTACTTTATAAAAAAATAGATCAATTAACTAACTTATTTTTATTAAATAAATCAATTTTATTTGATTTAAATTTTTCAAAAAAATCCAATCCATCAAAACCCGTTCATTCAACACGACTTTCCTAATGCATACTACATGGGAAAAGACTAGTTCCTTATCTTCTTTTGTCATTAGGTTCTATTCTATCTTAGAGAACGAATCCTTTCATATTATATTTCAAGTTTATTTCAATCCTGTTGACCTCAAATAAGTGGGCACTTAAACACCTTGAAACAAGGCTGAACCAATGTTAACAAGGTTGAATTGCTTGATTGCCTCAAAGTCAAAGTAATTAGCAAAAGTTGGTTGTTTGTGAACTTGTTTTGTCACATGCAAATTGTTGTGCCAACTTTTATTTGATTAATTAGTATTTGGGTCATTGAATTGGATCCTAATTAGGCTTCGATTTGACCTTGATTATTTTAACACTTTTTATTTCACTCATGCTAGATCAACTTAATCAGTCTCCTTTAATAGTATACTATGTAAGCACTTTTGATTGTACACTATGTTAGGAGTGAAATGGAGGATTTTTTTTTTAATAATTTATTTTATACTAAGAAAAAATAACGGAATAAAAAAAGTAACTTTTGAACTTAAATTTACTTCTTAGTTAATATAATAAAATAATCTTTATTATAATTTTTTTCACTCATTTAAACAAGCAAAAATATATATTTTTTCTACTTCCATTTGTTTATTTTATTATACATTTCTCAATTCACTAAGGCAAAAACTAATTTCACTCACAATATTGTAATTGTTTGGTCACTCAACAAATATTCGTATAAAAAAATATTATGCTAGAACTTAAAACACTCTTGATATCCACGTTCAGTCTTGATCACTTATTTGACTTCTGTGACAACTTAGAAGCTACCTACATTTATCTTATTAATAAACCATGGAGCATAGCATGACGTTTCACAAAATAACAAGTTGAAAAGTATTTGTTTTTATGTCTTTTATACGAAAGAGAAAGTTTTCATTTGATTTTGCTTTGGTTTCCTCAGTAAGTCCATGTGCTTCTTCAGTAAGAATCTGCGGGCATGCATGCAGCTGTAATGCCGAATCCAGATTCTTCCGAACGTGGCTTTGTACGTTGTTGTTGCTATATATAAACCACAGCACAAGGCGATTGTTACTTGCATTCCAAGCTTAAAGAAAACACACGAATCAAATTAATTGTAATTACAATCATGAGCAAGTTGGTTGGGTTCCTCATGCTGCTTTTGATCAGTATGGTCGTTGCTGAATTCGACCATGATCCTAAGTATCCTGAACCTGATGAACACGAGAAGCGTGGTCCATGTGGAAAGTTTAGCACACTTAGAATGTTGACACATAAGTTGCGTCATTGTGAGAAGGCTGCACGAAGCGTGAGCGTTCCTGTTTCTTCACAGTGTTGCAATGACCTCGCAAAGGTTAGCATCCCTTGCCTCTACGATGTCTTCTCTTCTGACGCCTTCAAGAAAGTTGGTGTTGATCCCAAAATCGCAATCACCATTCCCCATCGTTGCCATAAACCACGAGGTACTTATCTATCATAGATGCCAACATATTAATTATTCACCTACAAATATTGTTCCAGTCACATAGCATATTATATTACTGTATATAATACAGAATTTTATGCATAGACAATCATCTATTTATAACTATCGATCATGTATAATAAGTTTTATTAGCTTTTATGTAATTACTTTAGTAAAAGTCACATACATAATATTTTTATTAGTTGACAGCGTAGAAACTTTTACACCACATGAATATATCTATGAAGGATAATATTTTTTGCAAACTGTCTAGAAGCTTATATATCTAAAATAAACTCCATTAAACATGTATATATCACCTATTTAGATTATCTTTTCTATAAGCACTTCTAAAAGAGAAAAATATAAATTTTTTTTTATAAGTTAAAACTAGTTTATGCGCGAAATATAAACAAAATTTGGAAAATATTGATAGAAGAGAGTTTTTATAAATTAGTTTATACGTTTGACTATTATAAAGTTTCACGTGCTAATTGTTTTCTCTAATCCAATTGCAGCCTGAGAAGTTGGTTAGACAACCTGAAGATTTTACAAGTCGTCAAAGCTTCAGGTTACAATGTGCTGTGTATCGTATGGTCATCGTTAATAATTTGAGCTCGTTATAGAGACTCATAAATAAGTTACTTACATTGTAACAACTTTATTATCTATCAAATAATATCTATGTTCTTCTAAAGAAAAATCTTTTAGGTTGTCTTAAATTTAATTTTATTTGGATTAGAGTATCTTAAAAAAGATGATGTTGTTGTTTGGGGACAATGTTTTATATATCGAATTGTTGGCGATATAGCTTCCTTGAACTTTTACACTCTTGATCATCTCGTTAACGACAGACACAGCATATAAGAAAATGATCCTCCTAACCCAATACCTTAACTTCATCCCATTGCTGGTTAGAAGAGAACCCTCCAAAATCCAAATCCAGAGAAACCAAAAAACTCACGTGTCTTGTATACAGGCCCATCTCTGTTTTGCTTTCTTTGCGAATTGGGCTCGTATTATCCGATTGGTAGGGTGTAGGTCTGTGAGCATGCATGAATATTTAAATCTGTGTCCTATACTTTTGTTAATCACCCTCTACTTTTTAAGGTTTATAGTAATCTTTCGGGGATCAGAATATAATATTTTTCAAATAATTAAATATAGTTAAAATAATGTATAAGGAATGCTGGTTAATGTAATAATTTTCAAACAATTCGAGAGAAATTATTGTAGGTAGAAAAAGTAGGTGATATTTATATATAAATTACTGCGAGAACTTGATCTCAAATTTTTTTCTTGTTAATTAACCCTTATATATAAAATAAGAACAACTGTTTTGTACGAAAATATTTTTAGAATTTTATTTTCAAATTTTTTTAAGGACTAATTAAATTCATATCTAATTTAATTTTTATTTACCATAATTATTTATGAATTAAGTTTTAATATTTTTAAAAAATTATTAACAAATAAAAATAATCTTGTGCTATAATTTATAAATTATTATCATAAATCTAAATTATAAACTTATTAAAAAATATCTATTTATTCAAATTTTAAATATGATTTATATATTTAAATATAATATTTATTCATATACAAAATTTATTTTTAATTTAGTCATATATAAACATTTACTCTGAGTATTTACATGCTAAAATAATAATAATAATAATAATAATAATAATAATAATAATTTATTTTTATTAATTTATTGGTTCTAACTTCTAATTCATTATTCTAATCGAAGAAAGAATTGATCAAACAATGCAACCAAACCAGCTACGTTTTAAGGTACTGTGATTCCTGTTTCAAATATCAAAATATTAACAGGTCTGCTGTTTCTTTGGTAAGAATCTGCGAGCATGAAGCTGCAGCTCTTCTCCCAAGATTCTTTTAAAAAAATTCTAATACACTTTTTTTTTATTAATAATTAAAATTTATAAAATAATGAAAAAGAGTTGTTAGAAAATATAATAGCCACAAAATTTTATAATTTCAACCGATAAATATATATGTTAGAAAATACGTAAGTAATATGTCTCACTTTAAAGAATGCAAACCAAGATGCTTCCGAGGTTATGTAGCAATATATTCAGAGGAAGGCATGCAAATGAAGTTAGTATTTAAATTCGTTGGGTTGTGTTCCTGACACATTTGTATCACAGTGTCTGTGGTTAAATACGACCATGGTCCTTGGTATTGTAGACGAGAAGGTAGTGAAAAGTTTAGCACTCTCAGAATGCTGACACATATAATGTTGGGATGGGACATTGCATAAAGGCTGCACAAGACGTGACTGTCTCTTTACAGTGCTGCAGAGACCTCGCAAAGATCACCATCGCTTGCTTGCATGCATGCTGTTTTTTCTTTTGATGCCTTCAACAAAGTTGGCATCAATCCCAAAATTCCAATCACCATTTTGCATTGCTACGCTACCATTTCTGTTTCATACAACACCAGCTATATAAAGAATCATCATTTATTTTTCACATATTTTATATAAAGAAATTTGTAAATTGTTAATAATTTAAGCTTGTTAATCATATAGGCTTATAAATAACTTGCGTTGTAACGATTAATTTTATTACCTACCACATAACTTTTATGTCATTATAATCTATAACTTTCTTAGTTACTTGAAATTTATTTTTATTCAAAAGGGATAATGACACTATCATATATAATTAAATGTGAAGGATGAGGATGACATTGATTACAATAATGTTTTCTGTATTGTCTAATTCAATTAGGTTAAAATGGACTTCACTTACTCGTTCACATTTGACATCTAACCAATTATTATAAAGTAACCAATTATTATAAAGTGAAATTCTAAACGGTTAAATCCTAACATGATCAATTACCTTATATTAACCAAATAAATGTTCAATAATTTTGACTTAAACCATTATTTAATTTACATGAATTTCGAAAAAATTAATCTTAATAATATATAACTCTTATTTATAATTAAGTCATAATATGCTACAAGTTACAGCTGATAGAAAGAGAAACTGCAAAGTACATATAACATGATCACATGTTTCTAGAACACTTCTAAAAATCAGTTACTCACACGAAACTTTCTGTATGAAATAAATACAGAGTAATTATATGGCTTGAAGCTACTACTGAGGGTTGACTTCTATAGTATTACTTGTTAACTTAATTATATATGAGCAAGCTGAGACAAAAAGAACCCAACACATGCTGAAGAGTACTAGTGTCCGCTACCATGTCTTATTTCCATATTAATACTGCATACAACGTACGTGGTCGATCATATCATCCTGCAATGTCAAAAGCAAAGTTCATGTGTTTAAAGAAAATTCCAGCCACGTGAGCCAAAGAGTTTTATTCAATTCGTTAAACGCCATAAAAAATGTGATGATAAAAAAAAAAGTGGAGCTTAGCAGGACATGAAGCATTGTTATTGCAAACATAAACACAAAAAAATTGACTACAAGAGGGTGACTCTATGCATGCAACTTTGAGGGAAAAGAAAAAGAATTATAATCAGTAACTAATTAAACATTTAGTATTTGAAATTTGATAAAACACATACATACGTACTGTACATGTGTATATACATTTAATTTTTATAAATTTCAAATACCTGACCTACAGGATGGGGAGTTTGAATACTTTGGCATACAGTTAATAATAAAGAGAACCTGCGGAAATAGAAAAAAAAAAAAGAAGGTATATCAGTATATCAGGTAAAGTCAGTAAACTGTGTTTCACTTAATTTTTTTAATTTATTATTATATTAATGCTTTTACTACTAGGCAACCAAGATTGTCCTACCTTGCCACCAGTTCCCTCTTGAAGCACTGTTTGAATCATTATCATTTGGATCATCATCGTCCTTATTATCTTTCTTAAACTGCAAAAAATGTCACATATACATAATTAATAAAATACAACAGAAATTACATAGAATATGCCACATATATATATACATAATTTATAAAATACAACTCACCCATATATGTATGTATGTAAAGTTGTCAACTAATTATTAATTATGGCCGATTCCAAGGTTTCTCTCTTTTTTGTATAAATTAGCCATACATTCGGTTGATGACCATCAATTTAACTAGAATTTGAGTATAACATCAGTTAAGCAAATAGCATATGTATCATTTTGTAATTTGCTTTTACATATTTATGATTTATCTTTGGTAAAAAATAGAAATACAATAATTTTGTCTCTTTGTTTAGCATATGAAAACAAGCTTTAAGGGAAATGTAAAAGATAAAGCATTCTGGTTAAGATAAAAAAACAGTGATTGTACTTAATAATATTATTATATAGTATTAGATAATTATCCTTTTGGCAAAGAAGAGCATGGAGTATGATGATAAAGGATGGGAATTAAGGCACTCACAACATGGTGGGATTCAGTGGTCCTAGTTCTTGGGGAATAATTTTCTTGACCACCATAATAGATTGATGAACTGTAGTAGCTGGGCTCCACTACTGTCTCATTCTGATAATTGGTACTACTAGTATTCTTGTGTGAGCCACCGCTGCTTTCACCTTTGTTACTGTAATTTCCTGAAACGAATCCAACATGAAGCTTTACCAAATAAGCCTAGACATTAAAATTGGACTGAAAAAGCCACATGTTCCCTCTGTATAGACAAGATTTGATATGAAACTGAAATCTGTGGAATATTTAGTACTATGGAGTCAAAGTCTAACGAACCTGGTGCTCCATAATTTTTGCATCCCATGTCCTGTTTTCTTGAATCTCTCCCTTCAACCTAAAGTTATATAGTGGTTATAAGTACATATGTGTTATGTCACAAAGCAGTATATGCTATATATATCACTCAGAGATCAAAGTTGTTGGTTAACTTTATTAGTCCCAGGGTACTCAACACTGCTACGAGAACATATTCATTCATCACGCTTAAAGTTCTGATTAATGGTAAACTTTGGATGACACAGAGATCAAAAGAATTTTATAAATTCATGCTCAACAACTTGCTTGCTAGCTCAAATATACTCGATTTTATGCAAGAATAGATCATGCATGTTAAAAAGTAGAACAGCTATAAATGAACAAGGTGATTTTGTACACTTAATTGTATATAGTTAGCTATTAGTTAACCAGATAGAGGAGTTTGACCATAATGCGGCCAATAACTATCATGTAGAGAGCTGTTGAAGTTAATTCTTCAGTTATTAATTAGTGAGTAGTGACTATTACCAACACAATACTAAAGCTATCATATTCCCGAAAAGAGCTGTGGGTCAAGTCAGGTCAGAAAGAATAACTATATATGAAAATAAAATAAAAATGGAAAAAACATGTTGGGAAGGGTAAGATTGAGGAAAATTAAGCCATGCAATATACATATAGAAAAATAAAAGAAGGAAAAAAGAGGGGGAGCGGGACATGCATACAGTGGAAGGAGGCGGGAAAATGGAGCCAAAGATGCTGGTGGATGAAGATGAGGTGGTGGAGGGGTCCTTGGGACCAAAAAGGTGATCAAAGTTGGTGAGTGATGATGACGATGATGAGGAAGAACCTCCTCCAACTTTCTTTTTGTTGTTCTCCATGTCACTAATCAGGGAAGGTAGCTTTCTTTGTCAACCAACGAACAAAACTACTATGCTAGTTTGTAACGACCAAAAGATTGGATAAGATTTGAAGGTTGGGAACAAAAGAGATAATGAAGAGGATGAGAGGGAAGAGAAGAGAGGAAAGCACGTGATGGTTGCAGATTGATGATGTGTAGAACATGATACGTATAGAGGGCTATTTATAAGCCCCAAAATATGCTGCGCCCATGTGCCCTTCACTCAATTTTCCCTTTCTTTCACACTTGGGCCCCACCTAGACATGATACCCAGATCCAAACCCCTCTTGCCATGTGTCTTGCTCCTCCATCTTTGACTTTTTTCTTCTACTCTAATCTAATAATAAGCCAATAAATTATATTATAGATACTAGATAATGTTATTAAATTTTTGTCTCTATCTAATTAAACACCAATTTAAATGTGAATTTTAATATGGTATCCAGATGATCTTTGTGATTGATGTTAAGTCCATATCAGAACATTTATAGATAATTAGTTACACAAATTTCAACAAACCACTTAAGAAGAATACCCCCATCAAGTTAAGAAGATTGATCGAAGTCAGTAATAAAATCAAGTTTAAGAGAATGTTGAAACATAAACTTGATTTTAAATCTTATTTATCTAAACAAGAATCCAATTTTAGAAACATCTCAAGTTCAAATCGTTAATTTAAAACAAATCAGTAATATAAATAGATTAGAATTTGTATGAAGTAATGTCATTAAAATTAGATTGATGCTCGTCTTGATCAAAACATTGAATCATCATTAAGTGACTAATGGAACTATATAAACTAATATATTATTAAATATATAGTATAGAAATTGTTTGTGTCATGTATGTACAATAATGCTAGCTGGTGTACTGGCTTATACCTTTCAAAAGATCCAATAATAGATTTAGTCTTAATACATGTTTAGTGCAAAACTCCACTTTTTTCCCTCTGAATTTCTTAAACATTCTATGCAGTAGTAAGACATGTGTGATAAACAGGATGTAGCAGCAGTGTGTGCATGCAAAAGCAGAAAAATGTGTTGGATCGATAGAGAGCAATGCAATAGGAAGAGTGTAATCAAGTGCAATAATAACTACGGTTACATGACCTAGTCAGATCACACTGACCCAGCCAAGTCATGCTGAACCACAGTGTGATTATATATAGTCTTTCCCTCTAAAAGTTAAAGTTTTATTATTTTTAAATATTTTTCGAGTCATAAAATTTCATTTCAACATACAAGAGAAACAAGAAAATAAATATTTTTAGGTAATATAGATTGACATATAATAAAAATATAAAAATTAAACAAAATTTTTCTTCACTTATTTCGATACATTTAGTATATATATATATATAT